TAAGTATAATACATTATACTTAATGATGACACATTAAGAGTATTCTCATTAAACCCAGAAATAAAACATTCTTGGCAGTGCTTAATACTCAGCAAAGTATTGTTACTAATAGCAAATTACTTCTGACACAAATAACAAAGGATGAAAAATAGGTATTCAACACTGCAATTGAAAGCAAACACAGTTCTTATGTCCCCATCTCAATAATACTTTGAAAAATATTCAGTAAAAATTGTCAAATGTGGTATATCTAACAAATACAAATTCCAGTGAAAAACATGGCTGAGTACTTTTGTGTGTGTGTGCTCAATATTGTAGAAGGTACAAAGAGTTGGAGGTTAGCGAAGAAGAGTTAATTTTCTTCTATTAGCACTTCAAAGTAATTTATCTTTCCGATTACTACTGAACACTTACAATATATTTAACATTGTGGGAAGTCGCTGGAGTTGGGGAAGTGAAAGCAGGACTTGGCTCACTCAGGAAGCACGTTGTCTTGCTAAGAAGTAGGCAAGAAAGGGTTTAAAAAAAAAAAAAAAAAGAAAGGGGCAGCGTGAAAACATTGTAGGCAGAGTCATGATAGCAATATAGTGAGATATGAGAGGATTGCGAAGGAGGAAACCTAAGTGAACAGAGGGAATCTGGGAAGATTTTCCAGAGAAGTTGATGTCTGAGAATGAGAAGAATTACTAATGGAGTAAATGGAGGTTGAAAACTTGCTTTGCCATGATGTGGTAGAGATAAGAGATAATATGAATGGAAAATGTAAAAGAATAATTGATATTTGAAGTATTATAATGAATAGTTTCATTATAATTATTATTATATAATTTTAACCTTATTTTTAACATTGATTTTTAACATTTTAGAAACAAAACTTGTATTTGCAAAGCAAAGAAATCATGAGAGATTGCTGTGTGTTGTGGAATTATTTAATACCAGTAGTTCAGTATGGTCAAGTCTAGAAATGCCTTGTGTGCATGCTATTGTACCTCATCTAAGGAAACTTGCAACCATTGTAATATCAAATGTTATTAATTATAATTTATTAAGTACCAATTTTGTCAATTTGTGTACAAACAATGCTGTAGACACCATTTCTGTCTTCTCAGAACTTAAGTTTGAAGATAATTTTATCTTTCGCTGTGCGTAAACCTTTCAATTATGGGCTAAGCTGAACAGTATTACTGAATTTTTACGTTTAACCTCAATTTAAGTCATAGATATAGAAACTGAACTTACTATATTTAAAGTACACAAAAACATTTATTAAATCTTAAAAAAAATTAAAATTATAATCTGAAATAAATGTCTGAATATAATTTTTATAACCTGGTATTTGACAAATATATATTTAATACTTTGAAAGTTTTCAAAAGAAGGAAATAATGAAAAATATTGTATAGTAAAATATTAATTAACTGTAATTCAGATTTTCAGACCCTTCCAGGCCTGGACATGAAAGTAGCTTCGGGTGGAAATCCTCCAAATTGCTGAAACCTGTGTCACTCGGGCTAGAGAAAAAAAACAGTGCCAAAGAAAGATCAAATTACAAATGTACTGTTTTTATGACTCTATTTCTATGTGTGGTAGTGACACTTTGGCATTCATCGAAGGACTTACAAATAGCTCTAGGGGTCTCCAAGTTTTTTCTCACTCAAGATATTTAAGAGTACATTCTTAAATGACATGTGGCATCTACTAGTTTCTTCTTTCCAGACTCAGCCCACCATGGGGACATACATATAGGAGGACCCACATTTACCAAAACCTCACTGATGGTACCTACTAAAGGTGCCCAAACACAATTTTTGCTTTTTACTGATGTCCACAGCAAGTGTGGTGTCTCTTTCATCCCTTTGTTGTAGAATCCTCTGATGCCACCTGCAGCATTGTTAAATTGGCTGGTATGGTCTAAGTTGTTATCATTGATCCTGAAGTCTTCTAAGTTTCCCATGATAGTGTCATTTAAGACTAAGGAATTAATTATGGAATTTGATCTACAAGTCAAGTTTAGTGGGAGACAGCGTGCTGTTCCCAGAGTATCTGTACTTACACCTCTCCACTCTTTCATTGGGTTGACTTTTTTCCCCAGCAATAACATAATACCCCAGTGGACCCATTAAAATATATTAGTTTGCCATCTTTCCACTACATTCTAGTACAAGAAAAAAAAAAAAAAACCCACTCATTATCAGCTTAAAAGTTCCAGAACCTCTAGAAAAAGAAGGAAAGAAAGAAGGAGGATATGAAAATTCAAATGTAGTACCCAGTGTTTCAACTCTTAAATAGCAAATGTTTATAGGAAAATACATATAAAAGATTAGTTATTTCTTTTTAAAATCTGAAAGAGTAGATAAAGAATTAGGAAGCATACAGAGGGAAATCGAGCAAAATAGAGCAAAGAGAGAAACTGAGACAGTAACACTAATTGGAAGCAATTCTGGATGTAGGGAACAATATTCAATAACTCAGTCAATGAGTGAGTGAATCAGTCAAATATGAACATCAGTAGTCATGAAGGGATTGTGCAAAAATAGATGCAAAGACAAATCTTCAATCTGGAATTGCACAGGTCCACCTTGGGAAATTGTGCTGGTAGTAAATATTGGCTTCTTTTCCTTGAAAGATCAGAACAATATATATCCTTGGCCGCCTGCAATGTATAATACATGATAGAGGTTTGAAAACCAGTCACTACATGTTTGCGTCTTGAAATACATGCTTGTAAAGTGTGCAGGTATGTGGGTATGGAAGGGGCCAAGTTTGTGTAGGAGAGAGAGAGAGAGAATAGTTTTAACTTTTTTTGAGAAAACTCATCAGATACAACAGTGGAGAATATAAACCTAAGTTGTTACTCATATCGATAAAAGGTTACTATTTCCTTTTAATTGTTCACATAGCCAATGTATTAATAATTGTGTCCCAAATTGCAAGGATTTCTAAATCCAAGTATTTAAAATAAAATATCCCTGTATTTTTTTTGTAGGATGAACGCTCAGTGATTTTTCATGAATTAGAAACAACAAAAAGTAAAACAGTTACTTGCCATGCAAAAATAGATGAATTGGATGAGGAATTAAGAGCAAAAGAAGAGAGAAAAAGAAGTTTTGATCAGACACTTGAAATTCTAAAGTAAATACTTAAACTTTGTGAAAATACGAAGTATGTGTAACATATTATTAATAAGAGAATTAAGATCAAATTTCTATATTTAAAATTTATTCTTAATATAGTCCACATACTTTATCATAATTTGATGTGGACTATACATATGATATTGAATAATTTTGGTTTATAAAAGCATAATCATAAATTGTTTTCATTATTTTTCCTTGGGTTTATTCTTATTTGAATAACTGGGAATGTTTCTCCTTTTCCAAGTATAATAATTGTATTCTTTATGATATTAATAATATTCTCCATTAATTTCAGATTTATCAGTATTTATATGCCATGTTTGATAATTTAGGGTATCCATAGATACTTCCTTAGAACTGATATACTCTTCCTAACTCATCTTGGTTCTTATTTTCTATTTTCTAACACATTGAAAGCTGACCTTGAAGGACTGTTAGGGAAATATATATTGTTCACATTTAAGAACAATAGTCTGATTTTAATATAGAAGGCTAATATAAGCATTAGCAAAATTATGATGCTTGAGGGATAAAGTGTCAAAAAAAGTTATGTCTAGCCTGATACGATATACTTTAATAGAATCAAGTCAAGGCACTCATCAAGGATGTATTTAGCTATTACCATAGGATAAAATCTTATTTTTAACATGATCATGAAGCTTTATATGAAAAAACTAAATCATATTCAGTATATTATGTATGAAATCAAGGAAATATAAAATTTTGAAAGATATTTATCCACCTTGCATAACACCTGTAAGAATATTTGGGGACTCTAAGGTATAAACCAAAAATTATATAATTTATACTACCTCATAAAGATCTAATTCAGGAGCTAATGAAAATTTCTTCTTCAGGGTTCTTACCATCCCAATCCTAACTTCTTTTTCCATACTGTGGCTAGATGATATTGCCTTTCAGACAAGCGTGGTCACCATGTCCCAGTGAATCAATTCCATCTCCAAACTTGACAAAACTCTGCCTTCTGACAGGAAAAAGAGAAAAACAATAAGCTAATACTATGATATTACTTACAAAAGTGTTAATTAACAGTGATGATGGATTATGTCTAATAGGATTTAAAGCTACCATTGAATGACTTGTTATCGTGCCAAGCACTTTGCCAGACAATCTAGGTACTTCATCTTATCCAGTTCTTATAGCAAATTATTGCATGTATATCATTTCCAAATGAATGCTGGGAAATTAAATTAAATTAAATTAAACATGATTATGTTAAGATCACACACCACTAATTAGTGGTAAAGCGCAGCTTAGCTCCATCTTGTTCCAAAGTGTGTGCCCTTTCCACTGACTCCCTAAAATGGAATTGCAAGGGAAGATTACTGCAGATAGGCTGCATTATGAGTAATCTACTGGTATTTTCAATAGGTGGCCATATCAAGTTAATAATTACTTGCTGAGAACTCATAGTGGGCCTGATACCAGGCCCCAAGAAAGACAAAGAAATGGCTTGGAGGAGGGGTTCCTTTGGAATGCCTACAGAACAGAAGCATGCTGAGGAGGCAACCAAGAGGCAATCCACTACACTTCTCCATAGGTTTTCTTCCACCCGTATCATTTAGATGTAGCCCTATGGAAGTTGGCCTTTGGAAGAAACTAGAGAATTTTTTCAAGGCTCTTCAACTCAAGGCCCTTAAAATTTTTTTCATTTTGGGTCTTTTTAAATGCATCATAAGCACATTTTAGAAAATAAAATATGAATTAATTTGTGGCATATGAAATTCTTTCTTCATAGGAACCAATTTATATCTATGAGGTTTAAAAAGGAACACGCACAAGCTGTGTTCGATCATTTCACGGAAGAGAAAAGAAACTGTGAAGAGAGAATGTTAGAGGACGCTCAGAGATTTAGAACACTTCTTGCTATGAGGCAAAAAACTCTGGATGAAATAAAAGTGAGTATTATTTCTGACTGTTGTAAGATGAAAGAAAGATAATGATAGTCAAATTAGCAGCTACTTTGAGACATTCATTTTTCATCCTGAAGTAACAAGGAAGTTTAGATTTTTAAAATAAATTTGTTAGCATAATAAACACATAACTTTTCATTTTTTCTTCTAAGTAATTATAATAGATTCACACAGCATATTGTATTTTTCAATACATTTGGTGTGTACTCTCATTTTATTATCGCATTTCATTTTAATTTGAAGTCTACTAGTGTAAACATGCAAGTTACATTTGTCCAGAATGATTTTTATGTTTTTAATGAGCGATGTGAGAATGGTTATAATTTGTTTGTGAATAAACACACTTTGAATGTTTACCAACCATCTTTTTGGGAAATGACAATAGTTCATGCTCTTTTCTTTTAGAAAAATTTTGCACAATATTTTAATGGCACTGTAAACTTACTAGTTTGAAATAGGGAAATCATGATGAAAATATGTCTTCTCAACCTGAATTTTTATTAATCAAATTTTATAAAGCTGTACATATTAGATTTTTTATAGACTATAACTAAGTGATATACATTAAGTTAAATGATTCCTATCCAATTTTACACTTTGCAATAGTTTTTGTTACATTTAATTGTCATGAATTAGTACCATATTTTAAAATATTACTTATTTTTGAGAGACACGAGGAAAAATTTTTCTCCAAAAGTAAAAAATCTCCTATACTTTATTAAAACTATTTTCTGTGAAAGTGTTTAAGGTAAGTAATATCATAATATACTTTTATCAGCTATTTTTGATCCTTACATTTATATATTTAAGTATTATATTTATATATTCAATTATGACATATATTTCAATTACTTTCCTTTTTACATATTTAAAGACAATGTTAGTAAAATTTAAAAAATGATTTGGAACAAACATACATTGAATAAACAAATATGTGGGTAAAAGAACGTACCATCTTTAGTGCTATGTCTGTGGTTCATCCTATAAAAATATTAATAAAAATAATAATTTTATTAATAACAGTGCTAAGTAACACGCTTCCATTTTAAATGTGGCCATTACATAGAAAAAGATTGTTTGACCTAAAAATATGAAAATAATTGGTGCCATCTAGTGGCAATAAATGATGCCTCCTTTTAGAGGAGTTCCTGAAACTGAGTTTCAGATATGTGCAGTATGAATGGATTGGGGAAGCTTGGACACCAGTGCACCTCTCAAAACGGGAAGGCTTAAGTTATTTACTGACTTAAGCATCATTCCCAACCTCATATTTTATCACAGCAGTAGAATTAGTTATTTGAATTCAACCACATTTTCCAATCGTACTGGTGCTGAGAACACAGTGGGATCTCAATAATCATTTATTGACTGGCATTTCAGCACTTTAATGGAACAATAATAATTAGTGAAATGGCAAAATATGGTCAGCAGGAGAGAGATGAATAAAAAGTCCTGTATAACCAGCCTCTAAATTTTTGAAATTTACATTTCTTTCCATCAAAAAGCCTGCCCCTGTCTTCCCACACCCAAGTGTACCCATCCCTAGCCACTTGGAAGCATCATATGGTCTCATGATTTTTTTTTTCCTGGGCACTTATCTCTATCTGAACTTGTTTTGTTCTTTTATTTTTCCTTGTTTTTTGTCTGCCTATCTCCTGCTATAATAATGTGTTCTCTATTAGGGCAAGAAATTTTCTGGCATATTCTTTTCTGTATCCTAAAAGCTCAGGACTATGTCTGGCACAGAGGAAGCACTCAGTAAATACTTGTTGAATGAATAAAGAAATGGATGAAGGGATGCTTTTTTGATCACTTTGCTATCCAAATACATGATAGTAGTGAGCATTTCAGAGATATTTTTCATACTGCATCAGCTGGATACTCCTGACATTTTAACAAACTCAAGTTGTGTGCAGAAGCTGAGTCTCTCTCTCTTTCTCGTCTCTCTTATTCTCTTTCTCGCCTTGATAATACATGAGAAATTTCCATTCAGTCTATCTCCCTAGTGAAAATGGTTAAATTGTTTATTGCTTTCTAGCACTTAAGGATTCTGTTCAATATCTCAATAATGCTTATAATGTAACCTTAAATTTACAGGAAGTTATCTCTTGTCAGTTTCATGGATAGCTCTTTGTTATGCACTCACCAGAAGCATAGTTTGAACGTGCAGGGTTTAGAGATTGATACGTCTCATCATTAATGATGCTATTTATCTATGATTATGGTCAGTGACTAGATGTTAAATAATGGAAAGACAATATGATTACTCATAGCAACCCTGAGCCCATCCCTGTTTGGAAATGGGACAAGTTTATAAATGTGTATGTCACCTAAAGCATTCCTGGAAAGAAAAAAAGTCTTACTAAGACATCATTATAAATGTGGTATTACTAATCTGGGGTGTCCCCTCTGGGCAAAAGAATTGATCAAAATTATGGACCATCTGTAGGGATTGTTTAATAAAAGACTTTATAAAAGCCATGATAGAGTTAATAGAGGATGTAGGAAAACACAATATAGAATTAGAAATACAAACAGCTAATAAAATATTAATAGTTGAAGAAAAATATACACAAACTTCAGATAATATACACCATGGTTTGGGAATTGAATTCAATCTCTCTTCATTAGTCAATTCCATATCATATATCATTAAATGGTAGTTTTTTTTTATGTCATGACATTTTTACTAACTGCCTATAATTTGCAAATCCAATTGTTTAAGATTAAATTTTCAATAAAGCATATTCATCAAAGTACAATAGCTCTAGCTACTGATGTTTCTCTTGGCTTTTGGGAAGATCCACATAAAACTGGAGCTTATGTGTAGTATTTCAATTTGCTATGAACTGTGCTCAGAGGCTGACTGTCTTTTCTTTATTTTAAATTTTTTTTATTTCAGCATATTATGGGGGTACAAATCTTTAGGTTACGTATATTGCCTTTGCCCCACCCGAGTCAGAGCTTCAAGCATGTCCATCCCCCAGATGGTGCACACTGCACCCATTACGTGTGTATATACCCATCCCCTCTGCCCCCCTCCCATCTGCCTGACACCCGATGAATGTTATTACTATATATGCACTTAAGTGTTGATCGGTTAATACCAATTTGATGGTGAGTACGTGTGGTGCTTATTTTTCCATTCTTGTGATACTTCATTTAGTAGAATGGGCTCCAGTTCTATCCAGCATAATACAAGAGGTGCTAGATTACCATTGATTTTTGTGGCTGAATAGAACTCCGTGGTATACATATACCACATTTTATTAATCCACTCTTGTATTGATGGGCACTTGGGTTGTTTCCACATCTTTGCAATTGTGAATTGTGCTGTTATAAACATTCGAGTGCAGATGTCTTTTTTATAGAATGTCTTTTGTTCTTTTGGGTAGATGCCCAGTAATGGGATTGCTGGATCAAATGGTAGTTCTACTTGTAGCTCTTTGAGGAATCTCCATATTGCTTTCCACATAGGTTGTACTAGTTTGCAGTCCCACCAGTAGACTAGAGAAGGCTGACTGTCTTTTCTATGTCAATGCATTTCCTATATGTTCTTTCCATCGTCTTGCTCTCTTCTCTGCAATTTAGTTTATGAGAGGAGTACAATGAACTACCCTGGAAGAACAATTTCTAGATCGAGTTTTAGCAGAAACGTTCTCCCAATACCTTGTAGAGTTTATTGGTTTTTATTTTGCTTCATATTATCTACTCTCAGGAAATACCTCTTCCCTTGGTTATAGCAGTCCCAAATTTGGTTATTAAATTACTTCCTGACCCTTTCACATGGAAAATTCTTAGCTTAATACAGAAGCAGTGACTTACTGCCTCACTTTACCACCAGGTATTAAAATAGTAAAAATTAGAAACAAATTTAATCTCTGAGATAGTTGTAAAGATTATTACAATTTTTATATTATTCTCCTATTGGCCACTCATCATTTATTCATTCTCACAAATATTTTATAAGTACCACTATATTCAAGGCAGTCAATGTTGGATGACCAACACCCTAGCCTCAATTTTAAAAAGGCTTCGGCAGGAAGATGGAAGACATGAAAAACAGACTTGAATATAGTGACAACACTCATATTACAAACAGTAAATTGTGGTGCTTGTCCACTGCCAAGAAAAATGAGAGATTATTATGAGCAAAAAACATTATATATTCTGTGGTCTCAATCGTGGGAAATGAATGTGTGGTAAACCTGGAAAGATTTAGAGAAACTGACTAATGAATCTCCTAAGCAAGAATAATTTGCCTTAATGATAATCTTCCTGCCCAAAAACTATTTTAATATAACATGAAATTTTTAAAAATTAGGAACATGTTTTACATAATTAATATTTTTTAAACGTACTTCTGATAGGATTAAGCATCAATTAATCACACATAATAATATGAATTAGGCTCATCATATTGCTTTTTTAAAGTACCTTGTTAAAATCTATGGCTCTTTGAGGACTGAATATTTTAATTTGAGGACTGGTGGCAAGAGTGCTAATTTTGTGTCAGAGAACACTTCATGTTTTTGCACAGACCCTGTGCTTCAATGATAACAAGTACTTAGAAAGCAGGAAAGAGTAACACTACAATATGGAGGAAGGATGGAACATGGGTATGGTGATTCCCAAATAAAATTTAATATATTTTGAATGTTTGTTTAGAGCATGGTCCATTACACAAAAAAGAAACTTCTCTCTTTTTTGTGTTTCTAGCATCATGCCATTCCTTGCTGATGTGTCCCAGAATTGTTGCTAATACTGTGTTAAAGCGCTGTGTGAAGTTCGAATAGATTTTTTATTTTTGCATTAATAATTGCCTGCTATTTTTAGCTTTTTTAAAAAGCACTTTGAAGCATTTATTGCAATTGTTTGTCTGTAGTCCATTTTGATTTTTCTATACATTGGTATTTTTTTCTATATAGTTGTGCTAGTGATCTATGAACATAGTTTAGATATTGTGATTTTTTTCAGGGACCATT